TCAAATTATAACATATATTGATACTAAAGTGGTTTAATTAAATTTTGAATGTAACGCAGTACCATATGCAGAAAGGAATTGAAAAATGGCACCAGGTAAATAGGGTTAAAAGAAGGATAGAAATGGAAGGACATAAAATCACAAGACTGAAAAACATTTATACAGCAAGAATAATAAGAGACATTGTGTCAAATGGTGCAAAAAAGTGATACAGGAAGAAGAGAGAAAATATAAATTTGTGAAAAAAAGCCCAAACCAAGAAACAATAATACATATCTGAAATTGTAAGGGGATGTAAGAAAACCTTATAAATAAAACAGAATGGACAGCAACTAAGAAGAAATTTGAAGCTGCTTAGATATTGAAAATCCAAAAAAGAAACAAATAGCATACATATACAAGTAGAAATACATAAAATTTATAAGAAATCAGGACACAGTTGGTAAGGGGTAAAGTCAATTATGTACCAAAAAATTAAATATTTTGTAAAGGGTAATTCTAGTGATATAAAAGACCAAAGGCCTATAGGATAAATAAATTGAAAGTGAAAATTAAAAAATAATTATCAACAAAAACACTGCATTCTGGATGAATCATAAGAATAAAACTCTACAATTGAGTGTATTATTGAAGTTCTTTAAGATATATAGCAAATCAAAGTTATGGATGTAGTGCTGCATGAGTGCACTAGAGCTTTGCTCTGGCACCTGAAATGGGAGCTAAATCCCAACACTTCAAAAATAAGAATGTATTTATAAAAATTAACTTATTCAGTTTACACCGTCATGATATAAAAGAATGTTCATTTTAGATATTACTGATTAATTTAATTTTGTGAGTGAATATTTTATTATTGCTTGGTTTTTGTTATAATAAGAATTAAAGGCAGATGACTGTAGGAAGTTTTGTTAATAATTCATTGATGTTGAGACTACTGAACGTCATGTGCAATACACTGACATCGAGAATATAGAAGGCAGGCAGAAGATTAAGTGATAAAGATATCATCAT